CTATGGACTTCTGTAAACACATTAGCTTAGTGTGCAGCAGAGGAACGTTTCTCATCAACAAGTGGCGAGATTTCCTCGCCTTCCTTCGTTTCTTCGAGTGGAGCGATTTCACTCTGTAATTATCTTACTCCCTCCGGCGTTACTCCTTCTATTTTCAAGACTCGCCCAGCTCTCTTTTGCTCTGCATGTTTTATTTTCCAAATTCCTTCTGGCATTCCTCTCCTGTTGATATCATCCCTGTTTTCTGCAGGATGAAGGAGAAGTGGAAAATGTGGCCCCCTGGCTCTAAAGCACAGTGTGTATGTAAGAAGAGACTTGCTGAACGCATATGGTTGTTATTGACAATCGAATCAGTAGGGAAGAGAGATTACACAGATGTCAGTTTCACTTCTACTCTCTACTCTCTCAGGTTTCATGTGCAGATGATGAAGGTGTAATGAGACATGTGTGATGACTGAGCTGATTATTATCGCAAGATAGTTGAAAAAAGTGGTAAACATTAGTGGATCATTTACACCACAAATAGACACACAGGCTGGTATTTAACGTCGTCTCTTCGTTGTTTAGTAATTCCTCCTCTCACAGGGAACAGTTGGCTGTCTGCAGCGCACGGTGCCTTGGCATCCTTTCTTAAATATGACTGACATCTGACCAGGGGTCATTCCAGTGACCCAGTTTCACTGCGACTGGCAAGCGGGGGCTGCACCGAGTGACCTTGACACTGAACCTTTTTGTTTGGGTTCGTTTTTAACAATGTTCCGTGTTTGTTGGCTCACCAACGAGAGAAATCTGTTGACTCCCATTCAGATCATTTATTAATAATAAATCCAATTTTTAGTATTGTCGCTAGAATACAATGATTTTATAAACTCAACAGTGAACAGCTGACGTGTGGGTGGTTACTTGTTCTTGTTATTTGTCTTTGCAGCTTTATAACGTCACTACTTTTATATTAAAACACATCTGAAAGTGCAACTACTCACTCATGTGTGTACATTGACAGGAAAAAGTCCCAATGGGAATGGCAAATCAAAACTGTAGCACTGACTGCACCACTGTCAGCATGTGCCAGTGGATCTCCTGATGGCTCCTCTCCTCCTCTTGTAAATCCCTCTGGGTCCGCTCCGCTCCACTATCATTGTTCTCCTTCCATTCCCCCTTTTGTCCTCTCATACACCTCAGAGGACCAACTGCTAAGCATCCTTTCTATGACTGCAGGGGAGATGGCTGAGGGGAGGGATGGAGGTGTGGAACCCAAATTACACAGATGGCCCCTATGTGTATTTTAGTGTTTGTGTGGGTGTACAAAAAAAAAGAAGGACAGCACTGAGGACAGAGAGTCAAAGGAAAGAAAAAGGCTGCCCTATTTCTTTTGACGTTTGATTACATTTTCCATTTGGTTATTTTTGACAATATTCATAGAGCAAAAACATAAATAATAAAAATAAAATAATTTCCTAATAAAAAATATCCAGCAATAATGTTATCATAAACTACGTCCACTAAAACGGTTACTGCTGGAAATGAATTACACAGGATTCAGAACATGAATACAGCAGCAAACAACAATTTGCTTTGTGAAGATATAGATGAGTTCTGTAGGAATATCTCCCTGAGCAGGAAATGAAGCTTCTCTCCTGAGTGCTCTGCAATCATGGAGTCTATTGAAGAAGTGGACGTAGTTATAACGGCATCAAACATTGGTTTGTGGACTGCTCACCTGAGGCCTAGATTCCGACCATTTTGCCAATTAAAGTGTGGGGGGGGGTTTTGCAACCAATGAACAGTTGTTACAATATGTGGAATGGCGAGGAGCGACGTGGAGGTGCACAGCTCTTGCAGCAGCAACCACCTGTGAATCAAGCTGCTAAAGAATACCGCTTTACGGTCTATTTTATTCTAAAACAAATCATGATTTCACACTGAATAAACATCACGCTGCATTAAAATATACTTGAAACCAGCGACTGAGATCATAAACTCATGTTTACCGTGTTTACTCAGGGAATAAATCAAGTGAGAAGTGTCTTCATTTTCTCAGACTTTTAACTTTTAAAAATTCAGAGGCGCACAACCAAGCCGTTGTGTCACATATGTCTTGCAGACGCACCGCGTGGCGAACTCACAGCGGCAATTTTAAACTATAGGCGTTAGCTGTGAGCGGCAGACTCGGCTCACAATTTCTTATGCAGCACATTTTAGAGATTTAAAAAAGAAGTGATCAATAGATGGGAAAGATACTGATGAACAGACAAGGATTTATTACTAAAAAGATTATAGTTGCAAAATAGAAACCATTGCACTGAACAGACCCCATGTGGGAGATAAAATGAGGCCTAAAATACAACCACACTCCACAAGACACCTTCAATCATCCAGCCTCACATTGCTTTTCCTTTATTGATGTTGATATATATATATATACATAGCTGGAGTTATGTGTTTTTTCATCAGGAATTAAAAACACGTCTTGATTCATTGCAGCCGATGAAAATGAATTTGACACAGAAGCTATGGGATGTAATAAAGTTATATTGCCCAACTTCAAGAGCTGTCATTCTGTAAATTAACAACAAAGTGTTCATCCTCTTCCATTTGTGCTCACTTTCTTTCACGTTTTTCATGTATGTAGCCTTGTAGCCAGCTAGTCATATGCAGTGATAACAACCCTACCTTTATTACTGAGATTGCTCACTTGTTTGTTTTTTCCTAACTTGGGCTGGAAACTGTCAGGGAGCATGACACCAGTCGAAGAATGATCGACAAACAGATGTTCATTGAGATATGACAGTAGCCAATATATTTGGTGGTATAGACAGCAGGAAGACGTGTGTGGCAAAATATTGTGGAGGGAAGGAAGAGATGGATAAATAGTTTGAAGATGGAGATTAAATGTGAGCAAGGAGAATGAAGTCTGGAGGTCCCGGACTCCGAACATGAAATGAAAGACTGAATATGAGCCAAACAGAGTAGCAGCTGTTATCATCGTGTTGTGGATACAAACACAGAACCTCCAAACCATCAGGGATGTTTCATGAACACCAGATCTTTTCCTGTGGTCGGAGACAACAACCTGGACATTAACGGCTGCTCGTTTCCACGTCAGGCCTCATTTCCCTGAGTGCCAATCGAAACCGAGCCTTTCCTCTCTCCGTCTCCACCCTTCTTCTACTTTCCACTCTCTTTCCTCCGACATCCCTTTATACATTGAGAAAACGTCGATGACCTGTCTGTAGCAATCAGTCCGTTCTCGCATAAATGTCTACCATACCGCACTGGCAAGAATTTTGCATGAGTTACACCTCTGGAAGCCATTTGCTGTTATAATTAGAGAGCCAGAGAGAGGATTAAGCCAAAGATCATCACACATCTGATTGCCAATTGTCCGTAGTAAGTAATCAGGGCCATAAGGTCCTTCAAATGAATGGTCTAATGGGCCTGCTGAGGATTCTACACTTCTGCAGTGTGAGAAAAAAAGATGTAAAGCAGTTCTGCAAAAATCTGTGATATTCAAAAATCAAACATATTATGGTCTTGTAATGTTACATTAAATGAGCATTACAAGTGCAGTCATTTTCTTCTATATGTTAAGATATACTTCTAACTATTTTCTTAGTTGGGCCATTATGGCAAACCCCGGTCTCTTTGTTGCTGAGGTTCGTTGGCATTGGAAGGAAACAGAAGATTGTTTTTACCCATCTGAAGTCAACAGCTGCTCCTGTTCACCTGGACCCTCAATTCACAATATGTGATTATTGTGTAAGCATTGCAACCATCTGTCTCATTGATGTGTATCCATGAGGATGACCATGAACACCTGGCGATATTCTTTGTGCCACCGCTTCTAACAGAACAACTTCATTTTACGTCTAATAAATTTGAACGACATTATTAGACAACAAAAGTTGAGCCAACTTGTGTTTTCACTCATATTTTACACACGACGGAAGCGCAACTTTTCAACAATAACCGTCCGACAAACATGCTGCCATGTTGGTGCATAAGATGAGTTTATTTGTGAAGCTGAAGGTGTTTAAATGTGTTTCATAGAAGAAATGGTTCGTTCGTCATCTGGTTTGGACATAATTCATGTGTTTGGTCTGAAGTTAGAGTCAAAGGCAATGCTCTAAGCATGGCTGTAATCCCAGTCAGTGAACACGGAGGAAAAACAGAGGTCGGGACGAGGAAATAAAACAGGTCACCTTGGCCATCTAACTCATTTACAATAGAACTTGATGAATGTGTTGATTGTTCTTTTAACGCAGCTAAAAATTGTCCGTGTCTCATGCTGTCCGGAGGTCATAATTAATAATAATTATAACTGTACATAAACCATGAACCTTTTAGTGTTACCGCTACCTTATCTGCCTGATTCTGCGTAACATGGTGCGTTTGCATGCGTCCCCTCTTCTGATTCACTTATACGGTGCCAACATCAATCATGGGACATTCCGAAATGACTGATTGCAATTAAAAGCCAATTTCCGAAACAGTTCAAATGTTTTGTCTTGTCTTTCTTGTTGTGTTTTCTTCTCCCGTTAGCTGGAGGTTCTAATGTTTCGCTCCCCAGTAGGGGGAAAAACACAGACAGCAGACGGATTAATTAGAACACAAGCATGTAATTAGTAAAGCCAGCTATTCTCGGCGCTCACTGAAGACACTGTTAGTGCTGCTCATGAGAAAAAAACACCCCAGGCCTTATCCGCCATTCACAGCCCGCGCTGTGTAGATGAATAATGTATCCTGCAGCCATTACAGATGTAGGTATTCTTACATGTTCACAGCTAGTCACCACTGCAGCCGGCGAATCTGTCTGCAGCGCTGTAACGTCCTGCACACAAACAGCAGACTAAATATCTAATGTGGTATGAATCTGAGTAGGAGTAGGATCATCTGAATAACATGAAAACCTCTCAGTGCGCCGCCTCAGGGCTGCATTAGGCGCTGTGTGAGTGCTAAAGAGACGCAGCGGTAAGTGGCATTGATAGGCACACACAGTGCAGGTCACAGCTTGTTTTTATTTTGAATTCAAACCAGAGGGAACAGGGACAAGGATGCACACTGATAAAGTACACCGCGTATCGCTACGTAACTAACAACATCACAATACCTCATAAAAGCGCTCTTGACAACAGATCCAACATTACAAAATGAAAATAAATCTGCACAGGAGCAGAATTCAACTGCAATTGAAACCCAACGATACCTTACAAATCTCAGCGGAGAACAACAGTTTGGGCAAGATACGCCATTCCTTTCCCATTTGCAACGTTGCGTTTAAGGGAGCTACGACACCGGAGCAATATGTAAGTAACTTGCATGAACGAATTGCAGGTCTGTGAAATCAGAAATAAAAAACCTCCTAATAAAAGCTACCACAAGGCATACAAACACAAGAACTAGCCTGATCACACAGCTGTATGTACAGCGCGGGTCACTGGGAGATATCAGGGTTTGAATCGTATAAGACAGAACATTGAATCGTTAGTGTGTATACAAGCTATCGAACAGCCACGATGGAAAAAGGATTTCCACTGGACATGGACCCTCAAACCTTCCTCGGATGAGTGATGTGTTTAAAAATTCATTACAGCAATATTAGACGTTTTCGCGGTCGGAATATGAAGGGATCCGAGAAAGGCGGCCTTGAATGAACAAACGTTAACTACAGAAACACACTTGAAGAAAACCTCAAAGAATCTCACAAAGAGGAAGCGTGAAATTCAGCACTGACTCAAGCCTTTGTACAAAGACAATCACAAACAAGTTATTCATACATTACAGTAAAAAATAAATATATCAAGACAATCAATAATAATGAAAAGGGATCAAAGACATGGTAACGAGAGAGCAGGCTGTGTTGGTATGTGGGAGTTTGTATCAGCAGACAAAGGTAATCCCAAGACGGCGAAGGTTCAATGGGAAATGCCCCCTAAATAAGAAACCCGACACACACTCTAGGGAAACCAGGACCTAGCGTGTGCTTGTGTGTATCATGTCTGCATGCATGTTTTCACTCTACACTGCCGTCACACTGTGTCTGTTGTGCGTGGCTTTAATCTACATCTAAAATGTTCAGCTACATGTACGTGTGCGTGCGTCCCTATCTGCCTGCATCTGTCGTTCTTTCTTCATGTCTGCGTGTGTTTGCGTCACACTTTGCCCTCTGGGCCAAAACTCAGTGACCCTCGCCGGCCGGCGGTTTAGCGTCATGCTGCTGCTGTTGCTGCTGCCCTGCCGCCCCTCCAGGCAGCCAGGGGGAGACAGAGTGCGAGGTGGTCTGCTTGGCCATGCTGTAGTGGCTGATCACCGTGTAGAAGCGGCCCCTCGAGTTGGCGTCCTGGGCGGCGTAGTAGGCCTCCAGAGACGCCGGGATGCACCTTTTGTGCTGTTGGGGGGGGAGAGAAACAATATTTGCCCAATTGTTTAAAGATGTCCTGCGTGGTCGCCTATAGAGCAGTCGCTGAAGAAAAAAAAAGACATCGTTCGCCAGCAGAGACGTGAAAACAAATGACAAAAAACAACCGAAAGAAAGACTCCGTGTGATGTTGGCAAAAAAATAAAGAATCTGCGCCTATATTGTGTATTATACATTCCTGTTATTGGAGGGAAAAGGGAAAAAAATATAAGAAGCCGCTTACATCATTTTCTACATGAATCTAATAGTAGCCTATAGCTTTATTAAATAAGCATGTGAATATTGAGCCCATAGAGCATTTGAATGTGCTTTAACGTGCACATTAACAACCCTTTGCGCGGTTGTGTCGTGCATGTGGCATATTGTGAAAGTAAATTAATAATACCTCTGCAGACAGCGAGCAGAGCCCCTGCAGTGGCTTTGGGCCTGCAACTACATCTATTCCACCTTAAAGACCGGATTTGTCCGGAGACACAAACTTTGAGGGTGACCTCTCACAAAGTAAACTTGAGAGGGGAGGAAGGGAGGGAGAGGAGAGGAGGGGAGGCGCATATTGTTAGATACGAATGGCTGTATGAGACATTTTCTTTTCCTAACAAATCATTGGGTGTTAGTGAGCTATTGTCAAATAGGCAGTAAGTCTAATTTGCATCCCTACAGCGGATGGGAGCAGCCTCAATAGAGCCAATTTTGGGGGATTCAGTGTCAAGGAAGAAAAGCCTAAATTACACTTAATTATGTTGGACGTAACTAAATCACTGATGGATGATTGATTGCCTGTTATTAGCCTTGTTAGCTTGCAACATGACCTCTGAAATGTGTCAGAGTGGGGCAGGAGGTGTTTATTTTTCTCCTCGAGGTGACTGGGCAGTGCCCTCTATTCTTTGTATAGAGAGGACATGCTGTAGTGAGGGAGATGGGGAAGGGCAGAGATGATTCAGTGTCTTGCACAAGGACACTTATACAAGATATACAGTATAGAAGTAGTGGATCAGTCAATTAAAATAAATGAAAAAAATAGATTTATTCATGGAGAAGAAGTCTGTATGTCAAAAGAAAAACCTGATACTCAATATTATATTATATAATATTATTCAACATTAGTGCTCTTAGTCAAATGTGTTTATAATTAGTAAGCACTGGAGTTGTTCAGCGGTGGGTTTTGACTCTTTAACCTTGTTAAAGTCGGTGTTAATCAAGATGAGCAACCTTGTTCCTGCCTGTAACTTCATATTTAATGGACAAGTGTTGGACCACTATTTCTCTTCTCAAATAGAAACTCAGATAGAAAATAAATAAGAATAGTCTCCCAAGATGACAAACGTTTGCTTAAATTGATGACAATGGACAAAAACTATTTAATTAATGAACCCTTTTATCTTCAATTGTTTCTGCATCTTTTGGTTTCCGGTTTGACAAAACATGTGATCCAACCAACGAACATCAGGCTGTTTGGAAAATGTCTACCTATTTTGGGTTATTAAATAAAATTATTTTTTTTCAAATAATTCAGAAAGTCATCAACCGTAGCTGTAGGCTAACTCTCCAGCTGCTGTTACCCCCTCCCCCCCCTCACTTTCTGTGGGCTGTGAGTAGGTGTGTGTCGTACCACCATAATGTAAAGCCACTTACGGGTCTTACCTTGTAAATGAATCCATCTGGGCAGGCGTGGTCGTAGGTGAAGGCTTTATAAACCACCAGGAACACGATGCAGGCGAGGAAGGCCAGGGCCAGGATGATCAGAATAGTCACCTGGCGAGAGGACAAACGCTGGTCAGTGTGTGTGTGTGTGTGTGTGTGTGTGTGTGTGTGTGTGTGTGTGTGTGTGTGTGCGTGTAGTCATAATACATGGTACAGATGCTGCTGACTGAGGTGATTAACTCCTCAAGGCAAGGTGTTCCAGTTGAGCTGCGTGATGGATGACCCAGGCTGTGACATGGTACCAAGACCTCTGCGCAACGGATTTATCATGGTGGGGAAAGCAGCGATGCCAGTAATCACATTAACAATGGTGCTGTTCTTTTCAAGTGTTCCAGCAAAACATGACAGCGAGCCGGTGACCCAGCATGCACAATAGCTGTGAGCAAATATTAGAAGAATAAAAGCTTCCCTCCTCATTAGATTACCAATGTTCTGCAAAAGTAAAAGAGAGAGTTTTTTCCTGTGATGTGAGGTTTGTATAAAGGACTTTATTATGTCAAGCTGTGTCTCCATGGAGACCTACTGAATAAGGACTGGGCCGTGGTCAAATTGTGCGTACTGGGTCTTAGTATTGTTACAAGTTTAATACGGCTTAGAGCATTTGGGAATATTGCTAAAATACTTAATTATGTTGTACCAATATTTTATTTGCATTTATATTATTTCAAGCAATTTAATTTCTACGATGGTATTTATATCATTATAAATCAGTATATAAATATGGAATGTTGAGCCCAGCCCAGCTGCTGTTGATGATTATAAGTGTGTGAATGCGATTGATTTCAGTTATTTTTCATGTTGTGTTGATTGTCAGTGCACTCAGGTCAACGAGAGCAATCAACAGCTCCCAGCTGTTTTCTGAGAAACGCAGAAGAAATAAAACTAAAGCTCCATCTTTTCTTTTTTTTTTTTTTTCCTTCTTATAAGTAGAAATGCGGCAAACCGTTTCATGAATTTCATTTATTAAGATTGCAAGCAGCTTTTTTAAGCGTTTCAAGTGTGTAAATCAAGACTTTCGATAGTTCGCAACCAAACATGTTCTGGTCATTTTTCACAACAAGGATCTATGAAACAGTTGCAGTCATTATGAAATAACATATTTTTGTTCACTCAATTTCCCGGGCAGGATACACAATGTCATGTTAGAACAGATTAACATATAAAAGGATTTATTTCCTTCTATTTTGGACTTCACATCACGATGGGGTCTGAGCATTTCATTAGAACTATGCAGGGGATCGAGTTTAAAAATGCCACTGTCAGCCAAGTCACAAATTCCAGTGTAAATAAGAGTGTCCGGCATGCTTGTATGTGCATGTTGCCAATGTAACCTACCGGTTTTTGCCTACACGAGCCGAAAATAAAGAGTCAGACTTAATCCCAGTGAGCAAGTTGAAAAAACACAGAACCTTCCATAACGGATGAATGGTTCCGATTTCCATTCCTGGATTGGGCTTAAAGTCGATTTACTACTCTGTATCCGTCACAGTGAGTGAGTTGCCCGAGCAATTTACACGCGGGTGTGATCATTAGTCTCCATCAGCGTTACGGGGCCGGACGGGGACACGCAAGATAAGTGACTGTTTACTTGGTGTCAACTGGGGGACGCGGCTCTCGGCCTTGGTGGCCGCCGACACTCTGAATATTGCATGTGCCACATCGACCGCTGTGATGAATTATAAGGACACGCGAAAAATGATGGCAACCCGCCTTTTGGAGCAGAAACAGACCTGGAATGAATGATTAAGACTCTGGCCCCGTTTTTAAATGATGACGCATATGAAACGGCTCATTAAGGAAAGGGATTACTCTAAAGCTCCAAATATCAAGCAGCACGCAATCAGCGATTTATTCATGCGGAGACCCAACTTGCTCACACTTTGAAACATTAAACGAAGACTTAAGTTGCCATTGATTGAAGAGATTTGCCTCTTTTGCACAATTCAAATGAAGGTAATTACAACTGCAGACATTTGAATAATTTGTCTGTGCAACTCACCTTTCTGAGTCATTCAGACAATGAATCGTCCCGTTACATATTTGATCTGTCAGAAAATTGTTGTGACTGGAAAGCTGAGACGCTTGTGGACCCACTGAGTGATAATGTTAGTTAATACTGGCTATTTTGTCGTAGCAGTTAGATGTCTTTTTTGTAACAAAACGACCGGTTCTGACTTCTGGGATAATCACAGCGCTGTGAAACAACCTCAAACTAGAATAAATAAGCCAGTAAATAAGAGCCCGAGCCCATTCACAGGGTTTCTGGCTGAGGACGTATACATGAGCAGTTTCTACAACTTGTAAGTAACATAATTGAGCTCCTACTGTCATCCTCAGTGTGCACAGGGTTTAGATTTAGAGGATGTAACCCTGTGCCCCTTTAAGGGTTAAAACAAAAGAAAAAACATGGGTTAGAATGCAATGTAAGTCGCTTTGGATGAAAGCGTCGGCTAAATGACATGTAACATACTCCGCCCTTTGTGATAGAACTGATCACTCCAGAAGCCCTGCCATGTGGCGTATAAATCAAATATATTCTGACCTTTCTCCATTATTCATAATACGGCTGAATCCCGCAGTAGACCTAAGCAGGTTGTCAGGGAAACGCCACAGCTCACAGACGAAGACTCCCTCCGTGCAGGAAGTAGATCCATACGTTTATTTGCCAGCGTGTACCGATGCAATATTCCTCTATGACGACATAATGTTCCAACACGCCTATAAATAGAACTAACTAAATATACAAACATGTCAATATAATAGAACACAATTCAGTAGAGCCCAACAGAATCAAATAATGTTTTTTAGTCAATTCAAGTATACAATATCTCGTGTTATGGCAGCTTCTCTCACCCACATCAGCATCCTATTTTCTGTTGAACATTCAACAGAAAATAGCTGTTGTGTCATTAGCGCTCTATCACCACCAACACAACCATCATGCTGTCTGCTGTGAAACGCAGATAACAGAGGGGCGTTTATGGATGTTTGCTTTTCTTGGCTGCAGGTAGAAGCACAGCATGCTAGTATAATTTGTCTGTCCTTAATAAGAATGGGCTCCATCAGAAAAGGTTGGATTGACAGCATTGCAGGTGACCGCGTCCTCAGTGAATCAGCTACTATTATTCACCCAGGACTGAAAGAAAATTATCTTCTCCACTCGTGCCTCCTGTGTATATAAAGAAAAATCATATTACTGTATAATGCTACAGACAAAGTAAGAGTCAAAGAGACAAAATGTCCCTCATAATGGATGACATGAGAAATCATATCCCATTTCCATCCAGTTCATAGAACAAACAACCTGAAGTGTCACCCCGAAAAATAGCACAAAAAATAAAAATGCTCTTGAGGCCTAATCCGTGTATATGAAAGAAAAAGACATTTCTAACAATGTAAGAAATATATCTTAAAAGTTTATGTTTAAGTGGTTCTCAAAATTGTTGCGCACAATTCTTTCTGTCCATTGACTTTATTATGCTGCATTCATCAAGCTCATATTTTTCCTGTCCTTTATTTTTGCGTTACAGAGTGAGCTGCTAGTATCTCGGGACTGTTCTGCTCATCGCTCACTCCAAATGAAACATTTGTTTGTGTTAACTCACATATTTCAACACCGCCTATTTTACATGTATAACATCTGTACAGATATTGTAAAGTCAAAGTCAGTTTTCTTCGTGGATGTTCTTTATAAACCCAATTTTGCCACCTTCCACCATATGATTCCTTTCCTCTTTTAACACCATGCTATGTTAGAATGCAACACACCGCCCACACTCTCCCTACTGGGGACTTGACAGGCCATATGGGGTGGGTGGGGAGGGGGGGGCTAGACACCTTCTCATATTCGCTCGAGGAAAACAGCAGAATATGTAAGTGTGTGCTTGAGCGAGAGGACGGGAAGTTGGGTGTTGGGTGTTGGGGGACACAAGTGAGGAAGAAGAAATGACGCTGATGAAAACGGATAACAACGTGACAAAGAATGCAAAGCGAGAAATGAGGATGGAGATGACAGAGACAACGTAAGGCGGACAGAATGAGCGATGGAGATCCAGGGGGCGGGTGGAGGTGCTCGTTCCCCGTCGTGGGAATAGGTGGCAGAGCCACGGCGGGCAGCAGACGCAGTGGGACGTTGGTTGATGCATCAATCGATGCATCGCTGATGGAAGCATAAACTGCTATTTTTCATTGATCGTCCCTCTTCCCCTCTGACACCTTTCATAGCGGCACAAAAGGCAGCTCCATACCCTGCACGTTTTCTTCTGCTCTATATGTGAAGCCTTGTGCCGACACGTCAAGATACATGCATAGAAAAAGAGCTAAGAATATAAAATGACAAAGTTCTAATATTAAACACATTTTATCTTGGCCGTAACAACCTCGGATGCCTTTAGGCTAAGTTTGTTGATTAATGAAATTAATGAACTAGGTGACAGGGGGAGCTGGTGCGGAGAGAAAACATCCTCTAAAAAGGACAAATTGAAAAACAAGACGCTTAAAGGTCACTGGTCAGATGGCCGCAGAAGCCAGTCGAATGTCCACCCGAATGTTGGGAAATGCCCCTTAAAGGTTTGGCACATCAGTCTATGACATAAGCATTGTGCTCACCAAGGTAATTGGAAAGCGGTGATATTCTCACCGTCACACCTGAACCACTAGACGGCTTTTTCCACGTGGCTTAATGTCAACACTGGTAAAACAACGGACAAAGCAACACAACAGTGGCACAGATTAAATTGTATTGGTTCGGACACAACAAACAGGGCTGAGTGAACCTCGGACAGCACCAATAACGGTTGCAGACATAATCCTAACTGAAGTCAGAAAAGGACGGTTCTGACTATGAATTTAAAAAGTTCAAAATACTCTTCATTCATTCCCTCTGGAACAACCAGCTAGATGGAAATGTGCCCGCTGAAGTGTAATGGAGACGCTAAGCCCCCACCTGTCCATCACACGATTAAGCGTTTAAGTCGGGGATCGGCTAGCTGCATAAAAATGCAGATGAAATATTCTCCCAGGCAATTTCGTAATACGGTACTGAGGAAGCG